ACATACTTATCATTAATTAAAGGGAACTTGATGAGCAATTCAACTAGCATACAACATACAGGTTGTTGCATTTAAAAAACGTAAGAAAAAGCCATTTGAAAAACATCAAAAGTAACTGAGCTTTTTAAACATCCTGTATATTGTATCTAATATCTTTGAATACTATCATCTACCTACTGGCTTTGACTATTGTCTGATGTAGTTTCAAGGCAAAATCGGAAAAATATAAACAAATTTAGTTGTATTCATAATATGATAAAATATATAGGGTGTTCCATTTAAATAAATTATGTACTATTATTGTATAAAATATTTTTTTGTTTTTCAAATGATTTAGTAACTATCGACCGCCGGGATACTAATAACTCACCCTGTATGCTTGCCTGTATACCCTGTATACTTGCATTAGTCTTTGGATCCGTTGTATAGTAGAAATCTTGAATTAGCTGACATCATTTAGACTAAAATAAATACTATCACTTAAGAACTGATAGAAAAGTAATCGCGGACTTTCTCCAGACTCTTTATTTTTGCTACAACTTTTATAAAACGAATTTATGAGTTAATTTTTTTACATTTTTTGATTTGCATCCTTTGATATGACTCATATTGTTGGTCTAAAATTAAAAAATTACTTCCAGAATAAAAACTGATTAATCACCTGTTTTTTCTCCCTTTTTTNTTTTTTTAGATATAGTGTGTTAGTAATAAATTTAAATTCAATTTTACTTAAAAAAAAAAACTTTTAGGATGTCAAAAACTTTCTATAATGATATTGAATACATCTTTTTAATATTACAATACTTATTTATTAAGCTTGCCATCGAAATTTTATCTTTGAAATAAGGTCGTTTACCGAGGCGCTACATTGAGACCTTCAAAAACGTTAAAACGTCCTATAATGTCTATATACACCTGGTATAATATATATATATTATACCGGGTGAGTCGAGAGGACTGGACCAAACTTTAGGAGTGTATTGTACACTAAAATATAATGTAAAAAACTGATATGTCCTTATCCGATTTTCTTTTATATTGTTCTTTTTATTGTATAACTCTTACTGCACAACTACAATTAAACAAAGTCTTATACATTAATATTAAATATTGATCATCAGCTTTATTTTAATAATTCTTCGAAAATATAGCCATTAACTTCTAAACATTTCCGGAGTTTTTTTACATTATGTTGAAGCGTACAATACACTCCTAAAGTATGGTCCGTTCCTCCCGACTCACCCTGTATATATGTATATGTATATTTATATAATGTCGTAGAGATTATAGGACGTTTTAGCGTCTTTGAAGATATTAATGTAGCGCCTCGGCAGCAAACGACCTTATTTTAGAGATAAAATTTCGATATACAGGGTGTGTCAAATGTCTGAAATATAGCCAATAACTTCGCCATTTGTGGTTTTAAAGAAAAATGTTTCAAATAAAAGTTTGCATATTTTGATAGAAGATAAATCCCTCTACGCGATGAACATATCAAATCATATGGTTGTATAAGAAAAAAATCGAGAAAAAATGCAAATATAATCAGTGATTTACAATCAAAGTAGGCGCCGAAATAGCGCCGTTGACAACTTTAAATGTCAAAAAATTGACAGTTTGGGGAAAGGGAAGTTTGTGAAAACAGGGAAGTGTTAAAAACCTTCCAAAAAGTGGACGACTGAAGACAGCTGCCAATGACGAAACTACATTAAATGTGTGTCACCGCACCCATACATTATTAATTATTGATAATTGTTGAAAATGTCATTTTTTGACATTTAAAGCTGTCAACGGTTTATTTCGGTGCCTACTTTGATTGTAAATTAGGTACTGATTCAATATTTTCAGAAAACATATTTTTCTCAATTTTTTTCTTATACAACCATATGATTTGATATGTTCATCGTATAGAGGGATATAAGATACCTGCATTGGCCTTTGAAGGCGTTTTATAATACGAAACAAAAAATCTTGAATTAGCTGTCATTTAGACTAACAATAAGATATCTGATACGGATAGAAAAGTAATCGCGTACTTTCTCGGCATCTTCAAGACACTATATTTTTGCTACAACTTTTATAAAATGAATTTATGGGTTAATTTTTTTATATTTTTTCATTTGCATCCTTTGATATGACTCATATTGTTGGTCTAAAATTTAAAAATGACTTCCAGAATAAAAATGATTAATCACCTGTTTTTTCTCCCTTTTTTAATTATCAATCTGATAAGTAGTAAGAATTTTTTAATCACCGCAGAAATTTTTATGGTTAACCTCTTCAATTAAATTAACTAAATTGGCCTATACTCAACTTTCTCGCATTTCTATATGATACAAGGATAGTTAATCAAATTAATTTAATTTCTTTGAGTTTAAATCTCTTTTTGTTACATCTAGTGAATTTCCTGTTTGGTGTAACTAAATACATGTGTTTCTTTCTAAACATTTTTTGTCAATAGGACTATTTTGGTTCAAGAGTTTTGTAGTTCCGAACAGTCCTGAATCTTTCTGCGCATACATATTGCATATTGGATGTATGCGCAGAAAGGTTCAGAACTATTCTGAACTGCAGAACTCTTGAACCAAAACAGGTCTAACATTACGCTGTTATTTCATTCCACAATTACATGGTTAGACACACTTATTGTGTCCCTGGCATTGTTTCTTTTAATCCGTATGTTTTTTTATTGAATTCAAAATTTTGTAGAACCTTGACACCATAACGATGACTTTTATATAAGTAAGTCTAAAGGCGACCTAAGAAACACACTTCAGGAATAATGCTTTGAAATGTACAATCTAGTGTCTGTTACCAATAGGAATTATTATGAACATGGTCCAAAAAATATCATTTTCAAAGTTTTCATATTCATATGACTTATCTTCTTACCATTGGGCAAAAGTTAAAAATACCGAAAAATCTTATTGCAACAAATTTCAAACTGGATTGCGTTAATGAGAATAAATTTATTCTTTCTTCACAAGTATTGAAACTGCAAAGTGCTAATATGCATGAGAACAGTACATAAATACTCACTAACTGTTTTTGTGGTTCTACTACCACATAAAATAGAAAGAGTCAAGCCGGATTCTGTAACCTGTAATCATACATAAGCACTTTCATAATGGCCCAAGTAGGTCAAACAAGAAAACAGAAAAAAACTTAGTTAAAAACTCATTTCTGAAGTACAAGAGTCACTATAACAGAAAAAACTATTCTATAAAGCTGAATAAATTCGCGACATTTCCTTCATCTTCAACCTCTCTCTTCCAATTCTTACATCTCAACGCTTCTTTTGCGTCCACATCGACAGTGATCTTCCTTTCACTCTTACTTTATCCACTTCCCCATTTATTAACGTTCTAAGTAGCTTTCCTTCTTCCATTCTGGCGATATGTCCAGTCTCTTAATTCTTATGTAGCTGGATACCTGCTTCATTGAGGTTTTAGTTTTCAGGATTCTCCCCAGAATCTTCCTTTCGAATATGTTTAGATATTCTCTTAGTTTCTTTGTTAATGTTCACGTTTTTCAACCATACGTCGGATACGTCTTATTATGGTCTTATATATTCTGATTTTTTTGTTGCGATGTATCTGCTTTTAAACATGTTTGCGAGAGCAAAGTAAGCTTCCTCGTATCTCCCCACCACTCTTTTATAGATTCGATTAGGTCTTCTGCAATATGTCTCCTCTGCTACTTTCTTTGTTCTGCGCATCATGTCATCATATCGTCTGCGTATGCAGCCAATTGGAAGGTTTTGTTAACCAGCAGATTTACTCTTCGTATTTTTATCTTCCTAATGATGTATTCAAATGTTAGGTTAAATAATGTTGGTGCCATCCCATATTCATACTTTGCGTGATGTTAAATGTTTCTGTTAACTGATTTTATACACTTCACATCTATATCGTATTCTCATGTGCTCCTTAAAATTTTCTTGATGTTAAAGATCTGGTTTAATTTGAATTTCCACAGAAAGTATGAAAAATGCGCATCTCATGTGTGATATATACTAGATAGAAAAAGATGCTTGTGATTTAACCATAGAAAAAGGTGTCTTTTTAGCTAAAGAGAAAGATAATTATCTCTGACAGGCTCAAAGACCCATACATTTGAAGAAGACAGCTAAGTAAACTAGTTTGCTTGGTTTACATGTAACAAGAGTTATATCATCAATGAGTTATAAAGGTGTAGTAACTATACATAAGAGTCATTAAGTCATAAAAGTTCGCAAGAGATTATCACGTTTGGCAAAAAAACTAGCTAAATAGATCTCAACCTAATACGGCAACTTTATCTCAAAGTTTTATCCCAAGCATTTTATGAAAAATTTAAAGAAGAATGTTGACCTTAACGGGAGAAAAGCTATCGTGTAACGAGGAGATTGTTGTTCAATTTATCGAACAGTTCAGGAAAAAAGTGAATGGAACTTAGAAGATGAGTTATCAATTGCAGAACTGATGATGTTACAAAATCGAGAGAGACTTCACAGCGCAAGGAATTGAAGCGAATTGAAAGAGTCGGTCAGCGAACCAATGATGAGTTCTAAATCGATGGAAATAGAAATGGTCTCCACAACTCTATTTTCAAGATTTATTTATTAGATAACAATAAAGTATTTCGTACATATAAGAGATATAATTAGGTGGGAGATAAAATAATTTGAAAATGCAGAAATCACCCGATTTACGCATTATCATCATTACCCAGATTACAAGCACAAAAAATCTAAATTAATCCAATAATAACTATAATAAAATTACTTAATTATAAATGTATTAAGATACCATTTTCAATAATTTATTCATTATCTTATCTTTTTTGTATGTTTACAATTATATCACCTATTAAATAACAGTAAGTAGTAATTCAAATCAAATCATCACTGTTATAGTAGTCGCTTAAAAAAAGTGTACAAAATAAAAAATGTCATTTTAAACCCCTACGAGTTATGCAACCAACTCAACGCACGCACTTACCGGTTACATTCGTTTCAGGCGTTGATAGTTATGCGGAAGACCAACAACAGTTTAGTCCGACGTCGCAAACGGAAGGGGCGGAACCATCGCCCCAGTCACGTTCGGGAACGCCCCTTGACTGCTTTCAATACGGCGCTGTTGATGGTTACACGATGCGACAAGATCAGGAGTACCAATCGGCATTCGGAAGAGCCATCGAGGAGGTGTGTAAAAATGATAAACGAAGAAAAAATAACTTGAATGAGATAAAAAATACCAGCATTTTTTAAAAAATTTTGGCGGGAATTTTTAAATCATTGTTGCTTTGTAGGTTCCCATAGAAGACCAACAGGAGGCGCATTACATACAATTAGACGTTCCTGGTGTTGTCGCGGAATCTTCACCAAACGGTAGCGATCCTTCGAATAGTCCAGGTTCGCCGAGGAGAGTTACGTATTTAAATGCCATGTCTCCAGGTGACCAACATAATAGCGGTATGGAAACTACTCAATTAACTACGTTATCGAGTCATCATTACGCAGGATTGGATTCCACAAAGTAAGAAAAACATTATTTTTTTATTTTAATAAAATAACTCATTAAAAAGATTCATACGAAAATAAAATTTTGTTATTATAACCTCAAATAATATGACGTATAGAGATAAAATTTGACAGTTTAAACGAAGTGTCAAAAAACTGTCAAAAAATTGTATCTCAAAATTAATCTAAAACGTTTTATTTATTTAACGAACAAAAATTTTAAGATATTATGTTACATTAATTTTTCTTGATTAACTTTAAACTAGATTTCAAACAATTTACTCTAACATGTTTACAAATGCGAAGGTTACATTACGATTTACAACACACAATAGTTATTTCAACCGATTCTCGACGTTTTAAAAAGACCATCCCAGTCTATTTCGAAAATGTTTGGAATTTTAAATATATTTCGATTACACAAGACAAATAAATCAATTTTTTTGTAATATTTTTTAATTCTTTAAGATAAATTAACTAAAAACAAACTTTTTGTTCACGATTCGTCATTTTAATAACAATTTACAGCTGCAACGCGATTTAATAACAATAAATATCGATGTAGAGGATGATTCTTTGCGTAACTATTCGTTTGGTTTTGAATTTTTGAGGAGATACGGGGGTGAATCAGTTCTTATTTTATCAATATTTCATTTATAAACTGTGTAATTTATTTTATTCTTGATGGTTATGTGTTATTTATGGAAAAAAAGAGAGAGAACGTTGTAGTAGTTGAGTATCAATAAACAATCTTTCGTAACGTCGTTGTTTATCGTGTAAAAGCCTGGGACAAGAGTTTTGTTTTAAGTTTGTACCGGTAATTAACGGTGTTGTACTTAGAAAAAGAAACTAGAAGTAGGAAAAATACAATTAATTCTTAATTGAAATTTTCTTAAGTTATAAACTCAATGATTTTACACAAAATTCGTAGATTTTAATGTTTCTGCTACATCTAAAACTAGAACTAACACAATGTTTCTAGTTCTAGGTGTAGTGTTATTTCTAGTTTTAGTCCAATAAAAATATGCAACAGTTATATCTAGCGTTAATTGGCGCTACTTAGCAGTATCACTAGAACTAACACTACACCAAGAACTAGAATCATTCGGGTTTAGCCGGACGTCTCTTAAGACGGCTAAACCCGAATGTTTCTAGTTCTAGGTCTAGTGTTAGTTCTAGTGATAGTGCTAGTGTAAAACAAGAACTAACACAAAATCTAGAACTAGAAACATTCGGGTTTAGCCGCACGTCTCTCAAGACGGCTCAACCCGAATCATTCTAGTTCTAAGTCTTATGTTAGTTCTAGTGATAGTGCTAGTGTAAAACTAGAACTAACACTAGACCTAGAACTAGAAACATTCGGGTTTAGCCGTCTTATGAGACGTGCGGCTAAACCCGAATGATTCTAGTTCTAGGTCTAGTATTAGTTCTAGTTTTAGTTCAATGAAAATATACAACAATTTAGTACTGAATAACAACTGAAACTAGAACTAACACTAAACCTAGAACTAGAAACATTCGGGTTTAGCCGCACGTCTCTCAAGACGGCTCAACCCGAATCATTCTAGTTCTAAGTCTTATGTTAGTTCTAGTGATAGTGCTAGTGTAAAACTAGAACTAACACTAGACCTAGAACTAGAAACATTCGGGTTTAGCCGCACGTCTCTCAAGACGGCTCAACCCGAATCATTCTAGTTCTAAGTCTTATGTTAGTTCTAGTGATAGTGCTAGTGTAAAACTAGAACTAACACTAGACCAAGAACTAGAAACATTCGGGTTTAGCCGCACGTCTCTTAAGACGGCTAAACCCGAATGATTCTAGTTCTAGGTCTTGTGTTAGTTCTAGTGATAGTGCTAGTGTAAAACTAGAACTAACACTAGACCTAGAACTAGAAACATTCGGGTTTAGCCGCACGTCTCTCAAGACGGCTAAACCCGAATGATTCTAGTTCTAGGTCTAGTGTTAGTTCTAGTGACAGTGCTAGGTAGCGCCAGTTAACGCTAGATACCTATCACTATGTTGCATATTTATATAAAACTAAAACTAGAACTAACACTAGTTTTTGTTTGTTGAATATGATACTCAAAATAGTTTAAAGTTTTCTTTGGGGAAGTGCTATACATGAACAAATTAGATCTTCGAAAGAGTTATTCTATAATAGCTCAAAGTTTGTCTATAAGTTGAGCCGTCATTAGAATAGGTAATGTTGAGTAGTTCATGTAGTTAAAAATAGCTTCGAATAACCAATACGTAGCTAGTAATTCGTAATTCTTGAAACCAGTTTTTCCCGAAAGATTCAGAGTAAACCCAAAAGCAGGGTTGGGTATAATGCACTAAAAAATAAATGCAATAAGCGTTTCACTACCACTACTTCTTCAGTGGTAGTTAAAACACAAATTTCATCATCACTGAATATTTAGTGATAGTTGAAAAAAAATTACATTATCACTAAACCTTTAGTAATAGTGAAAAAAATAGCACTACCACTAAAAAATATTTAGTGATAGTGAAAGCCTTTAGTGATAATTAACATTTTTCAGTAACATACCACTGCTTCTAGAAGAATAGAAGTAAGACTATACATATAAGCTGAAGCAGTATAAGGAAATATATTCAAAATAAACCATAAAATAAAAGACCAAATAAATTAGTCTGCTGTTGACACCAAGAAGTCGTGATTTATTTCGCTTGATTGGCTTAATGACATCGTTTAATTACACCGCCTATACACCAAGAATCATTTTTATCAAAAAACTAGTTGATAACTAAATCGGACATAAAATATATATTCAAATCTATTTAGTTAAAGACCATGTTTCACTAAAAGTTTGTGCATTTTTTTTCTATCACTAAAGGTTTAATAATAATGCAATTTTTTTTTCACTATCACTAAATTTTTAGTGATAATGGATTTTGCATTTTAATTACCACTGAATAGACAGTGATAGTGCAATTTAGTGGTAGTGCAAAAATGCCCAACCCTGCCTAAAATACATCTTGGGTGGAACAAATTATATCAAACTAGCTTGAGGTTGCGTCAGAATATTTTAATGGACTAGTTAAGGAAGAGTTAGCACATTGGACTAAAAATGTCAAATTAGTTCAAAATAGCTCATTCATTTGTTGACATATAGATACAAGACATTCACAAAAAAGTGCTTCATTGAGACTTTTTCACTTATTGTTAGAAAGAGCTATCCCAGATTACTTTTGAGCTGCATTGACATGTTCCTTAATAATTCATTGATAGAGTTAATCCAGAACCTTGAGAGTTGATCCAACATAGCTATATAGGAAAAGAAACTATAATTCGTTTACTACACAGCTGTAGATAATCTTTCGATAGCTCCAGAGTCATTAAAAATGATTATTATTTCAGAACACTTTAGATTTACACTAGAGTTCTTTTTTGTGCAAGTTATTTCAGAGTTGTCTATAACTTTCTCACACAATGGAAGAGGTGCAGTTGAATAGACTTTGTTAAGAGTAGCAGCTTATCAAAAGATTAACTTCTATGTATCTACTTCATTGGCAAGAGTTATCCCAATGGTAAATTAACTTGCACATTTAGTCATTTTTCTTCCACAATATGAAGAAGATTTAGAATTTGATTGTTGATTATTGTAGCTTTAACATTTAGACATTGACAATGATGTACATGAACAAATTATTTTTGAGTGGGTTCAATTTACACTGTATTAGCTGCAGTATTAAACGTGCTGTAAACGAATAAGTTCCAAGCACACAGCATCTCATTTATTCTTCGATGGAATAATGCGTAGCTAGTAATTTGTAATTCTTGAAAGTACTTTTTCTGGAAAGATTCAGAGTAAACCCAAAAGTCATATTGGGTGCAACAAATTATACCAAGCTAGTTTGGGGTTGCGCCAGAATTTTTTAATGGATGAGTTATCACATTGGTCTAAAAATGTCAAATTAGTTCAAAGTAGCTCATTTATTTGTTAACATATAGTTACAACACATGCATAAACAGTGCTTCTTTTGCGACTTTTTAACTCATTGTTAGAAAGAGCTATCCCAGATTAGTTTTGAGCTGCACAGTGCACGATTTGTGACTGATCTCTTTGGGAAGGACATGTTCCTTAATAACTCCTTGTCAGAGTTGATCCAACAAAGCTAAATAGTAAAATAAACTATAGATCGTTCTGTAGATAAGCTGTAGATGGTGTCTGGATGGCTCCATAGTCATTAAAAATGATATACATGCACAAATTATTTCAGAATACTTTAGATTTACACTAGAATTACTCTTTGTGCAAGTTATTTCAGAGTTGTCTATAACTTTCTCACATAATGGAAGAGGTGTAGTTGACTAGATTTTGTTAAAAGTAGCAGCTTATCAAAAGATAAACTTCTATGTATCTACTTAATTGGTAAGAATTATTCCAATGGTCCAAATATAGCAGATAACATCGTAATTCATTCTTTCATCATTAAAAAGGGTTATTCTAAATTAACTTGCTCATTTAGTCATTGACAATTCAAGCCTCGATTTAGACTGTATTAGCTGCATTATTAAACCTGCTGTGAACGAATAAGTTCCAAGGACACAGCATCTCATTTATTCTTCGGTGGAATAAGTTAATCCAAATATGTTTATAAATATATTTCAGATTACATCATGGTGGCTCATTCAGTCATTATTAGAAGTTGGAACTTTTCTTCCAATATGCAACATAATGATATCTAGTTCTAACTAGCGCTAACTAGAACTGTCACTAGAACTAACACTAGACCTAAAACTAGAATCATTCAGGTTTAGCCGTCTTATGAGACGTGCGGCTAAACCCGAATGATTCTAGTTCTAGGTCTAGTGTTAGTTCTAGTTTTAGTTTAATAAAAATACGCAACATAATGATATCTAGTTCTAACTAGCGCTAACTAGAACTGTCACTAGAACTAACACTAAACCTAGAACTAGAATCATTCGGGTTTAGCCGCACGTCTGTTAAGACGGCTAAACCCGAATGTTTCTAGTGTTAATTCTAGTGACA